CAGGTGGAGGCTCACATTTTAGGAAATTTCATTACACACACACACACACACACACACACACACACACACAGCTTTTTTCGGGGGGGGGGACACAGGGGGATGCTCCTGCAGGCCAATCAGGTCGCTGATTCACTTCATCCAGGAGCCTGATTGGCTGCTCCTGCAGGCCAATCAGGTCGCTGATTCACTTCCACCTGGAGCTGGATTGGGTGGCTCCTGTGGACCAGTCAGACTGCTGCATTCTGGATCCTATTGTTCTGGGATTCAGCTCAGTACATAACAATACCCCTAAACATTTTGTGAATCTAACAGGAGAAGAAACAAAATGTTTTTTTAAAATTAGTTTCTCCTCTAGCATGGTGAATCGTCAGTTCCGTTGCTACCCCCCGATGGCAGCCTCATTCCTTGTCACGGTGTTTGCTGAGTCTTAGACAGAAGCGAGCGTTTAATGTGTGAAGTAGGAGTTGGAATCTAGCACGGTGATTGGTCATTTCCGTTGTATTTACTGTAATTATTTTCCCCAGTTGGAACTATAAAAGGTGATTTTCTTGAGTCAAAATGAGAGTACCCCTAAACATTTTTAAAGAAAAAGAAGCACTACATAGCTATAGCTATAGATAGAGAGGTTTTTTTTGCTGTTTTGGTCAAAACGAAGCTCAACAAATTTCAGGCTGTCTTGGTTTTTACTTTTTGAAATACGGCAAAACTATATGTGATTTAGTTAACAATTTCCACTTAGGACCAATGGAGTCCCATAGGTGAACAGGGTAAAGAAGGTGAGCAATGCATAGCAGGCAGTACAATGGTACCTCGGGTTACATATGCTTCAGGTTACAGACTCCACTAACCCAGAAATAGTACCTCAGGTTAAGAACTTTGCTTCAGGATAAGAACAGAAATCGGGCTCCGGCGGCACAGCAGCAGCAGGAGGCCCCATTAGGTAAAGTGGTGCTTCAGGTTAAGAACAGTTTCAGGTTAAGAACGGACCTCTGGAACGAATTAAGTACTTAACCCGAGGTACCACTGTACCTGATTTGTTGCAGCAGCATTGCTCCTCTTCACCTTCCCAAAATGATTCAAGTTGCACCCATAGGTAAAACCATGCCTCTGATGAAGTAGACTGTGGTCTATGAAAGTGTAAGCCCATTTAAAAAAAAATTTTTTTTAAAGGCTTCAAAATCACACAAGCTTTCTACAAAGGGTTGCAGCCAAGGCACTGTCGTCTCCAACACTCACATGATGCTCATGTAACGCTCCAGACCTTCTGAAATTGGAACAAAGGGTATTGACTGGAAATTGTTACTTTAAGGCGGCGCCCTTCCACACACTTTCCTTGGAAGGGTCACCAGATAGAGTCTGCCTTTGTTCCAAGCAAACATGCAGGAGATCAGGCTGCAGTTCTGTATGTGCTTATTTGGGAGTGTGTCCTCCTGAATTCAGGGCCCTTCCAGATGTCCTTTTCATTGTGGGGTCCCATTAAGTCTGCTCATGTTGCTCTTGGAATGCCCTCCAAGATTTCTCTGGTGAAAAGAGGGACGTCCCATTCCATAATGCTAATTTTACTACAGTGGACCCTCCGGATACGAATTCACCGTATTTTTCGCTCTATAAGACGCACCAGACCACAAGACGCACCTAGTTTTTGGAGGAGGAAAACAATAAAAAAAAATTATGAATTTCAGAAGCCAGAACAGCAAGAGGGATCGCTGCACAGTCAAAGCAGCGATCCCTCTTGCTGTTCTGGCTTTTGGGATAGCTGCGCAGCCTGCATTAGCTCCATAAGACGGACACACATTTCCCCTTACTTTTTAAGAGGGGAAAAGTGAGTCTTATAGAGCAAAAAATACGATAATTCATTCCGGGGGTCTTTTCACACCCTGAAAATTACTTAAGTAGAGGCGCTGCTTCTGCACACGTGCGCGGCGCGATTGAGCGCTTCTGCGTATGTGCGTGCGGTGAAACCTGGAAGTATACACTTCCGGGTTTGCCGCGTTCACAACCCGAAAGTTACGTAACGTAACCCAAAGGTCCACGGTATTTATTCCCCACACACAGGGGCGAATGAAGGCATCGTGACACCCGGGGCGAGGCGTCGCTACGTAGGGTACATGTGCCATATGTAGCAATGCCACACATGCGCTGTACATAGCGGTTTGCTGGCAGTGCCGCTCCAGCACCATACGCTGTAGCGGCGACGGAGGGAACCCATCGCCGTCTGTACAGTGCTGGAGTGGCGCCAGCAGCAAAACACTATGTACAACGCAAGTGCGGCGGCGTTACATACAGCGCATGCATGCACCGCCACACATGTACATAGTGATTGCAGCCGCGAACTGGGGATCCTCCACATGCAGCTGCGAGGGCACGATGGCTGCTCACACCGCTGAGAGCCCCCATGGGGTGCCTTCTTGTCACCCCCCAACATGGCACCCTGGGTGCACCGCCCCCCCCGCCCGCCCCCCATTGCGACGCCACTGCCCACACATCTTACTGGGTTTCCCCAGCCACTCTGGGCAGCTTCCAACAAATCTAAAGACATAAGCAAACATTAAACATTAAAAGAACCCTTCCCTTTACAGGATTGCCTTCAGAAAGTTCAGGGGTCTGATAACTCCATACCCTCCAACATTTCTCCAGTGAAACCACAGAGCCTAGGACTTGCCGATCAGAAGGTCGGCAGTTCGAATCCCCGCGACAGGATGAGCTCCCATTGCTCGGTTCCTGCTCCTGCCCACCTAGCAGTTCGAAAGCACGTCAAAGTGCAAGTAGATAAATGGGTACCGCTCTGGCGGGAAGGTAAACGGCATTTCTGTGTGCTGCTCTAGTTCACCAGAAGCGGCTTAGTCATGCTGGCCACATGACCCGGAAGCTGTACGCCGGCTCCCTCGTCCAGTAAAGCAAGATGAGCGCTGCAACCCTAGAGTCGGTCACGACTGGACCTAATGGTCAGGGGTCCCTTTACCTTTAAGGAAAAGTGGGACATTCCGGGATCAAATCAGAAACCAGAACAGCTGCTCTAAATCAGGGACATCCCTGGAAAATAGGGACAATTGGAGGGTCTGAAGCCCACTTTGAACATTGATTGTGCCTGCAAAAAGTTTGAGGAAACACTGCTTCACTTCCAGTCAGTGAATATCCTTGCAGTGTTCTCTGAAATCCCCCAAAATTCTTAAACTACAAATGATTTGGTTTATTTCTGTCCCATGTTTCAGGGCTCTATAGCCTCTACGAACGGCAATAATGTGCTGAGGAACCATCACAGAAGATCTAACAAAGAGGAATAAACCCACTACTCATGCAGCTATTTTCTGGTAGCAAGGAAAAAAACAAATTATAGAAAGGAGAATTCCTGGATGCCAAGATCCAAGTCTGGGGCAAGTACTCTTTGATGAGAGAACCCCAGCAGAAATTTAAAGTCACAAAAAAATTCTCAGGCAGTAAAACCTGGCTTAGTTACAGTGGTGAAAATTCCTGAATTATTGGTATAGGAGCACAAGAATGGCTTCTTGGAGCCATGTGGTCTGAGCTTGGCACAACCAGCTCGCGCCTCACACCTTGAGCTTCCCAGGTAGACGGGGTGGGGTGGGGACAAAGGCTTGATTAACATTTCCTCCCAAAGAGAGGGGGAGTGACCTAGCTAAGCCTTGCAGGACAGCTTACTCTATGGTATTAACCCTTTCATGTATTCATTAAACCAGAGGTCAGCAAACTTTTCCAGCAGAGGGCCAGTCCACTGTTCCTCAGACCTTGGGGGGGCGGACGGTGGACTATATTTTGAGGGGGGGGAATGAACGAATTCCTATATGCCACAAAAAACCCAGAGATAAAAGCACACATTCTAATCATGTAAAAACACCAGGCAGGCCCCACAAATAAGCCACAGATGCATTTTAAATAAAACGACACATTTTACTCATGTAAAAACATGCTGATTCCCAGACCGCCAACGGGCCGGATTTAGAAGGCAGTTGGGCCGGATCCAGCCCCTGGGCCTTAGTTTGCCTACCCATGCATTAAACTTAAGCATGTTGGTTATATGTGGCTGGTTATCCCACACTGTTATTGCATCAGGAACATATTGCAGAATACACCTGCAAGGAAACCTTAATCTGGAAGGGCCCTTAGCCACCCTTACTTTTCTAAGCAAACACACAAAGGATTGGGATGCAACACAGAAAATAGGGTAAGTTCAGGAATAGACAGAGTTCAGGATGAAGTTGCTACCCCACTGTGGTGCCGAACCGCAGATGAATGATCAGCTCTGCCAAAGACACAACAATAATAACAGAAACAAAGAAAAGGAGCTTGGTTTAGGCTATCTGCTAATCCCATGCTTTTCTCTATGGTTCCACACACTTCAGCCCCAAACAAAACAAAGGAAAAATTAGGGTGCTCGAATAGTCGGGAAGAACAATTCTGGTTTCCTGGGCAGATCATTACTGAAATTAAGTGCACAATATTAAATGTGGGAGGCTCTTCCAGTGAAGAAAAGCCTTCATTTGCATGAGAAAAGCCCAAATGGAATTGAAGAGGAGTCTTATCTTCTAATCTCTGGTTAATAATAATATATTAAAACTAGGGTATGCTTGTGACCCACTTCTGGCTGGTCCTTTTCCCTTGCAGCTGTTAACACCAGCAAGCAGCGATAGCTTGCACACATTTTATGCATGCACGCCGGAATATGCAATATCACACACATACACACGTTGTATACAGGGCTTTAGGCAGAGCGATATCACATGAACACCGGAGAATAAAAGATTCATAATAAGGGATGTGCGTGTCAGAACAACCTTCTGTGACATTGGGAATGGAGATAGGCTGTTGCTGCTGTTGCCCATTTATCTCAGAATAAGCGTCATGGAAAGCTTATTTGCACATGTATAGGATTCTGCTATGCGTCTTACTGAAATTAGTTTGATGTACGGTATTTCTGACTTACCCATGCATAAGGGCAGTATCTCTGTGTGTGCCTTTATTGATTGCTTTAGAAGTTAGTAGCCTGGATAGCTCAGTTGGTTACAGCATGGTGCTTGCTGATAATGCCAAGGTTGCAGGTTCGATCCCTGTATGGGACAGCTGCATATTCCTGCATTGCAGGGGGCTTGGGCTAGATCAGGGGTCAGCGAACTTTTTCAGCAGGGGTCCAGTCCACTGTCCCTCAGACCTTGTGGGGGGCCGGACTATGTTTTGAAGGGGGGAAATGAACGAATTCCTATGCCCCACAAATAACCCAGAGATGCATTTTAAACAAAAGGACACATTCTACTCTGACATCTGAAGGCAGCCCTGTTTAGGAAAGCTTTTAATATTTAACAGACCACTGTATTTTAATACAGTGGTACCTTGGGTTAAGAACTTAATTCGTTCTGGAGGTGCGGTCTTAACCTGAAACTGTTCTTAACCTGAATCACCACTTTAGCTAATGGGGCCTCCCGCTGCTGCCGCGCCGCTAGAGCACGATTTCTGTTCTCATCCTGAAGCAAAGTTCTTAACCCGAGGTACTATTTCTGGGTTAGCGGAGTCTTTAACCTAAAGCGTATGTAACCTGAAGCGTATGTAACCCGAGGTACCACTGTACTTTGTTGGAAGCTGCCCAGGGTGACTGGGGAGACCCAGCCAGATGGGCGGGGTATAAATAATCAATTATTATTATAATATTATTATTACTCATGTAAAAACACGCTGATTCCTGCACCGTCCACAGGCCAGATTTAGAAATTGATTGGGCCAGATTTGGCCCCCGGGCCTTAGTTTGCCTACCCATGGGCTTCAGCAGTTCTCAACCTGTGGGTCCCCAGATGTTGTTGGACTACAACTCCCATCATCCCTGACCACTGATCATGCTGGCTAGGAATGATGGGAATTGTAGTCCAACAACATCTGGGGACCCACAGGTTGAGAAACACTGGGCTAGATGGTCCTCAGGGTCCCTTCCAACTCTACAACTTTCATTAACTTTCCGTCAAGTCATCAACTATAGTAGCCTCCACCCCCTGGGTGCCTTCCAGATGTTTTGGATTTTAACTCCCATCAGACCCCAGCTGATGGGAGAGCGCATCTGGAGGGCACCGGGTTGGTGAACACTGAACTACAGTATAGCTGTACATTTGGGGGCTTTTCATATTTGAGTTTATATTTGTCCAGGTTGTTGTTGTTGGGTTTTTTCTTTTGTTTTTGTTTTGCATATACATTTAGGGTAAAAACAAGTTCTTTTTTTAAAAAAAATGATTATTATCCAAATAGGCAGCAGTTTCCCTTCCCACTTCCCCCTTGTTCTGTTAAACGTCTTCTTCTTAACTGGAAGAGAAAGAGAAACGAAGTTGTTGGTAGTGGAGAAAGGAGCTCAGAGCAGACATCGGGATTTAATCAGGCTTTCGTTGCCAAGTTCCCTATCCAGACCCCCACCACATTTAATCTGGGATGGAGAGGGGGGAGTATCCGCAGGGGGAGGAGAGGTGCCAGGGAATGAATGGAGTTGTGGGGGAGGGTCTGGCTTTGACCGCGAATAACCTCCCAGTGCACATAAAGCTGGGGTCCCAAAAAGGACAACAAAGACGCAGGCTCGAAAGCAAATAGAGGCTGTGAGCAAAGGCATTAAAGAAAAAGCCACAATGGCAGTGCCAGAAGCAGAAACCCAACAGGTGCTGTTTCCTCCAGCGTGGAGACGTAGCGCTTGTTCAAGCCTTGCTTGTGGCGCAACTGCTATGACACAAGAAGCCTGCCAGAAAGGTGTGGGAAGGAGGGAGGTGACAACCACAATGTACTGCCAGGCTCAAAGGACAAGGGTTGCTTTGGGAGAACAAATAATTGTTGTTGTTGTTTAGTCGTTTAGTCAAGTCCGACTCTTCGTGACTCCATGGACCAGAGAACGCCAGGCACTCCTGTCTTCCACTGCCTCCCGCAGTTTGGTCAAACTCATGCTGGTAGCTTCGAGAACACTGTCCAACCATCTCGTCCTCTGTCGTCCCCTTCTCCTTGTGCCCTCCATCTTTCCCAACATCAGGGTCTTTTCCAGGGAGTCTTCTCTTCTCATGAGGTGGCCAAAGTATTGGAGTCTCAGCTTCAGGATCTGTCCTTCCAGTGAGCACTCAGGGCTGATTTCCTTCCGAATGGATAGGTTTGATCTTCTTGCAGTCCATGGGACTCTCAAGAGTCTCCTCCAGCACCATAATTCAAAAGCATCCATTCTTCGGCGATCAGCCTTCTTTATGGTCCAGCTTTCACTTCCATACATCACTACTGGGAAAACCATAGCTTTAACTATACGAACCTCTCCACTATGACCTGTCCATCTTGGGTGGCCCTGCATGGCATAGCTCATAGCTTCTCTGAGTTATTCAAGCCCCTTCGCCACGGCAAGGCAGTGATCCGTGAAGGAGTACAAATAATTAGGTAAAGGTAAAGGTACCCCTGCCCGTATGGGCCAGTCGTGTCCGACTCTAGAGTTGTGCGCTCATCTCACTTAAGAGGCCGGGAGCCAGCGCTGTCTGAAGACACTTCCGGGTCACGTGGCCAGCGTGACGAAGCTGCTCTGGCGAGCCAGCACCAGCACAGCACACGGAAACACCATTTACCTTCCCGCTATAAAGCGGTACCTATTTATCTACTTGCACTTAGGGGTGCTTTCGAACTGCTAGGTGGGCAGGAGCTTGGACCGAAAGATGGGAGCTCACCCCGCCGCGGGGATTCGAACTGCCGACCATACGATCAGCAAGTCCTAGGCACTGAGGTTTTACCCACGGCGCCACCCGCGTCCCTGCAAATAATTACTTTCATACAAATAAAAAAATAATAATTGTGTTTTGTGCTGGGTGCAGGATGAACTTAGAATCACCCTGGGGACCCCTAGGGTCATCTAGTCCAACCCCTGGCAATGCAGGAAACTCAACTAAAGCATCCATGGCAGGTGGCCACCCAACTTCTTCTTAAGAACTTCCAAGGAAGGAGAGTCCACAACATCCCTAGGGAGTCCATTCCACTGTCAAACGCCTCTTTACTGTCAGAATTCTCCCCTCCAATGTTTAGTCTGAATCTCCTTTCACGTAACTTGAAGCCAGTGCTTCGAGTCCTACCCTCCAGAGCAGGAGAAAACAAGGTTGTTCCTGCTTGCATGTGATAAACCAGGGGTCAGCAAACCTTTTCAGCAGGGGGCCGGTCCACTGTCCCTCAGACCTTGTCAGGGGCCAGACTATAATTATTATTTTTTGGGGGGGGGAATGAACAAATTCCTATGCCCCACAAATAACCCAGAGATGCATTTTAAATAAAAACACACATTCGACTCATGTAAAAACACACTGATTCCTGGACCAACAGCAGGCTGGATTTAGATGGGGATTGGGCCAAATCTGGCCCCTGGGCCTTAGTTTGCCTACCCATGTGTCAGGGAACTGCCATCGGAGCCAGAGGGAGAGGGAGGGCTCCAGAGGGATTCCGGAGAGCGTCCCGGGAGGGAGAGAAGCAGCACATCTTCTGGGGAAGGAAATCAGCGTAACACCAGTGGAGAAGGGGGGCAGTTGGGGGAATCGGCGAGGTGGCTCCAAGACTCCTTGCCGGGAACCAGTGGGGCGAGCACGGGTCCTCCGATGCCCACACCCTCCCTGCGCAGAAGGCTTCCGCGCAGGGAAGCTAGGCGGAGACTAGGCGTCAAAGAGCTTCTTTGCTGGAAGAAGTTCAAGAAACGCCCACTAACGGATTCTGCCAGCGATTGAGACAGTCACGGGCGCGTGGCTGTCCAGACAGAAAGGGTTCATTCAGGCAACCAGCCAAGGGTGGCGTTGATTTACACACAAGCAACCCCTAGAACCATTACACCGTGTGATAAACCTTGAGATATTTGAAGGTGGCTATCAAAAGTCCTCTCAGTATCCTCTCTTCCAGGTTAAAGATACCACGCTCCTTCAACCATTTCTCATCAGGCTTGGTTTCCAGACCTTGGCCTAGATCATCTTGGTTGCCTTCCTCTGCTCAGGTTCCAGCTTGTCAACATCCTTATTAAACTGTGGTGCCCAGAATTGGACACAGGACTTCAGGTGTAGTCTGACCAAGGCAGAATAGAATGGTACTATTGTTTCCTTTGATCTGGACACTATACTTCTGTTGATGCAGTCTAGAATAGCATTAGCTTTTTTTGACCACTGCAAAAAACATTTGTTTGGGGCTAGACGGCTTGTTAAATTGTGCCTACTACTTTCACAGGAAGCCGTTTGATACAGAGTTCTGACCACTGGTCTGTCTAGCACAGTAGTAGTGTTTGCTCTGGCTGGCAGCAGATCTCTAGGGCTTTGGGCAAGGCTCTTTCCCAGCCCTACCTGGAGATGCCATGCAAAGCAGGCGATCTATCACTGACCCACAACCCTTCTCCCCAGACCCTCTTTTTTTATGCAGCCCATTTTGGATGCAAATTCCTTGGCAATGATGGGACACAGTGACCAAGGGAAATAAGACCCAGCTAGATTAGGGGCTGTGAACCTGTGGCCCTCCAGATGTTCCAGAACTACAATTCCCAGCATCCCTGCCCATTGACCATGCTGGTTGGGGCCAATGAGAGTTGGAGTCCAACATCAGCTAGAGACCCAAATTTGGGGAACACTGGTCTAGATGAAGAACTAAATTGCTCTTGGCCACTGAGGGGCCCTCTGGTCACTGCAAATTACCATATTTTTCGCTCCATAAGACACACTTTGTTTCTCCTAAAAAGTAAGGGGAAATATCTGTGCGTCTTATGGAGCCAATGCATGGTCCCTGCAGCCGAATTGCCCAGGGGCAAAAGGCAGATTGTGCTTTCTTTCTTTTTTAGAAAGAGGGAAGGAGGTGTTGAAACTAAGCTGCTGAGCAGCTGATTGGCAAGCGATCGGAGGGAGATAAGTGACGCTAGAGATAAAGGAGGCTACCTGGGAGGGAGGAGGTAAAAGCCCATGGATCCTCAGGATTTTTGCAGTGGGTCACCCCAAATTCACTATCAGATCACATAGCATGTCCATGCCTACAGCCTGCACCAAAAAAATCACTCACACACTGTTTCGTGGGGCCGCAATGGCACAAAAATGTGGTTACAAAGCACAGATCCTTATGTATTCTCAGGATTTTTGCATTGAGCTACCCCAAACTCACCGTCAAATCGCATATCATGTCTGTGGCCACAGCATGAACCACGAAAATCATACATCCACTATTTCGTTCAGAATATTTTTCTTGATTTTCTCCTCTAAAAACTAGGTGCGTCTTATGGAGCGAAAAATGTGGTATGTATTATAGAGTCCTTTCTATACACAGAATAGAACCTGTGACCTTGGCATTATCAGCACCACACTCTAACCAGCTGAGCTACCTGCCTAGATCTGCAGCCTGCAATCCTTCAGTTAATGCCTCCAATTACAGCTGGGCATTTTGCAATTGTTTGTGTGGTGGGAGAAGAAACCAGCCTCCTTGCGGTGGCCACAGCTAAATCCTTGGGCGCCAGTTTGCATGTTCTCATCGCTTCCGTGCAACTTTGTCAGTCTCATTGGTTTGCCGAGACCAAATCTTTGCATTCCTGGGAAATGTTAATTCCCATTAATGTGGCCGCAAGCCTGAAGGGATGCCTTTGTGTACCTGGCTCCAGGCATCTCCGTAGAACCCTTTGAGTTGGACTCCTTCCAGGGAACAGGAGCTTCTGGTTGCTAAGGTAAACCAGCCTCAGAGAGGATCAGCCCCTTCTGCTATGTTTATAAAGCTGCCCTTCCCAGTAGGCATTCCTCCCATTGGCCAACCTGATAGATAACAGCAAGCAGGGACATTTCCTCACCGAGGGCCAGTCCTCCCATTAGGCAGAGTGAGGCGATGGCCTCAGGTGGCATATGCTGGGAGGCTGTGGTGCCCCTCAGCTCTTCCTCCTGAGCTCCCTGGCCATACTCTTCTGCTGGAGAGGAGAGCTGTGTGCCATGCACCTTGGCTTCCACCTTTATAACTCCCGTGTGACATTTTGTCCTTCGCCTCAGGCAGCAGAATGTGTTGGGCCAGCCTTGTCCTCACCATTACCACATTGACTCCCACATCCTTTTTTTCATGTGTCGGCCCAAAGGTGTGCTGATTTGTTGCTTTCAATGGCATGCCAGTTGCCTACTGTTTACTTGCGGCGAGAAAGCAGCCAGTCTCCTTTCTCAAGAACTGTCGGGTGTGGGGGTTTTTTTTGGGGGGGGGTGCTCACTACTGTATGCTTCCACACGCTGAAAGAATATTGGAGAAAAGCAGGGAACAGATAAATTGCAAATGAGGCATTTGCAGAGCTTGCTACCACATGCAGTGCAAGAGAAAAGGGTGGGGGGAGCTGAACGCCTCTCTCCCTTTAGTGGTTGGTGTCAGGAGTTTATGGGCCTAGGACTGGGAGCATTGGTTCTGGATGTGACTGCCCCATGTGATGAGCCGCAGAATGTCAATGTGTGCGGCGAGATCAAACACGGGAGAAGGGTGTGGCATCCATATATCCTGTCACTTTCATTTCCAGTGGTACATCAATCTTCCTTTACTCCACTGGTGAATGTAAAGGTAAAGGGAACCCTGACCATTAGGTCCAGTCGTGGCCGACTCTGCGGTTGCAGCGCTCATCTTGCTTTATTGGCCGAGGGAGCCAGCGTACAGCTTCCGGGTCACGTGGCCAGCATGACTAAGCTGCTTCTGGCGAACCTCAGCAGCGCTCGGAAACGCCATTTACCTTCCCGCCAGAGGGGTACCTATTTATCTATGTGCACTTTGACATGCTTTCGAACTGCTAGGTTGGCAGGAGCAGGGACTGAGCAACGGGAGCTCGCCCCGTTGTGGGGATTCGAACCGCCGACCTTCTGATCGGCAAGTCCTAGGCTCTGTGGTTTAGCCCACAGCACCACCAGCATCCCACTGGTGAATGTACTTCATGGTTAAAGGTAAACACATTCATAGCAGATGCACATCAAACCCTAGCAAAAGATCCTAAACCACTTGGGAGTGTGTGTAGGAATACAAGCGAGTGCTGAACATGCATGTGGGTCTAGATGCACACCTTATAACATTTGTTCACAAGTACAGTGGTACCTCAGGTTACAGATGCTTCAGGTTACAGATGCTTCAGGTTACAGACTCTGCTAACCCAGAAATAGTACCTTGGGTTAAGAACTTTGCTTCAGGATGAGAACAGAAATCGTGCGGCGGCAACGGGAGACCCCATTAGCTAAAGTGGTACCTCAGGTTAAGCACAGTTTCAGGTTAAGAACGGACCTCCAGAACGAATTAAGTTCTTAACCCGAGGTACCACTGTAGCAGAGATCTATGGAATTAATATGCAGCTGATGTATAGCAGCTAAGCTGGAAAATCCCTGGTTCAAATCTCAATATAGACATTGAATCCCGTGGCGTTGGACAAGCATACACATGCATAATATGAGAAGCAAAATTAACTTCCTAAGTTCCCTCTCATTACAATACCCTTTTGAGAAGCAACTACCCAAGCGGTTATTATTATGCACAGTTGTTTTATCGAAATTAGAACAGCTTTCACCAACCTCGTGCCCAAAAAATGTTCTGGTCTTCTGCTTCCATCAGGGCTCTGGATGGTTTTAAAAAAGGTCTATTTGGGGCTGATGGAAGTTGTCCACAACAGTTGGACGTCACCAGGCTGAGGAAGACTGGTCTAAATGGTATCACCTCAGAAATTGCTTCCATTGTTGGGTAAATGTTATTTTGTCACCAAGCAGGCCCTGAATCCAAATTGCTGGCCAGCTGTGATCCTTACCTTAGGGAGAGTGGTTTTTGTAAATGCTCAGACCCCTATAGACTATTGTTATTTTCAGGTGGGATTCATTCACCTACCAGCAAGTTCAGTTTGTGCAGTTATAGTTGATTGGGAGGTCTGGTCCAGCACACCTGCTTCCCCAAAAGATCAAACATTTTTGCAAAGAGGAAAGTGAAATGGAAAATCCATTGGGAAGCATGGGATCATATTTGCTTTGAGGCAACACCATCGAATATCTCCACAAACAAATCAGAATGAATTCTCGTTAAATAGCCAATGCTATCTAATTCCCTGCAAACAAATCAATAATCAATAATACTCAATAATCAGGTTGCTTGGAAGCATGCCCTGCAGGGGTTGAATAAAATATTGTGGGGGCCCAGGAAAGCTCTGACCCACAAAATCACATGACACCGTGTGCACATGCCATTTGAATGGGAATGCCCATAAACATTTGGGGGACCCAGCCCCCTCAGATATTTTATTGTGGGGGCCAAAGCCCCCACAGCCCCTAGGAGGTGGCTCCTATGACCCCCAGTGTCATTTGTCTCTCTCTTGCTTACCCACAACATTTTGAATTCCTTCCAATTTTAAAGTGCCGCATGAGAAAGGAACCTTCTCCTGCCCTGATTCCACCCTCTTACATTCCTAATGGTCTGTCCATCTGGGTCAGTCCAACACATAGCTGTCAACTTACAGATTTGAAAATAAGGGACCAGCAGCCTCGAAAATAAGGGATCAGCAGCCAAAATAAGGGATTTTAGTCAACCAGGAGCTAAACGAAGCCTCAAGCGGTGGTTTCCACAGCGCAGCAACCCGGCAAAGGGGATGCAGCAAGGAAAACCACCGTCACATCTCCACTGGGAAGCACTGAGCAAAGGCAAGTCCCCAGGCAACACGACCGATTTGATCGGCACAAGTTCTTAGACTCCTTATTGGGTGAGCAACACAGCCAAGCAACACAGTTGGAGCCTCCCTCCTCCCTGGCCAGCAGGGAGGGAGGGAGAGGAGCTGCTTCCTTTGAAACCTGGGAAATTTAAGGGGCATCATCAATCTAGGACAGCAGCGGGAAACGGCGCTGGGATAAGGGAGTTTCCCGCCAAATAAGGGACGGTTGACAGTTTTGGTCCAACATCCCTAATATTAAATAACCACCAATGGGCAAATCTTCACACAGCCACCTTTCTAGAAGGCTGCAATTCTGTGTACCCACTTTCCAGGGAGTCAGCCTCAATGGAATTTGCTTCTTACAAGATTGCACTGTATAAAAACATTTGTTCAGTTGGCCATCACAAAATATCACATGTATATATCGTTGAAACAATGGCTTGAACAGAAACATCCATTAAAACCCCTTGCACTCAAGAAACCAAGCCTAAAATGTGGAAATAAATGCTGGGTTGCTGAACTGAGCATTCACTGATCAAGGTGCTAGCATTGGTGCAAAGCCCTGTACAGCTTGGGACCAGGATACCTAATAAATTGCCTCATCCCCTACCTACAGTTTTCTGTGGTTTTATAGTATGTATTTATTCATATTAATATTTGCATTTTTAATGTGTTGTAAGTCACTTGGAGACCTTTGGGGGGGGAAGCAGCTAGCAAGTCTAGATGATGATGGAAATAATAATAATAATAATAATAATAATAATAATAATGACATTTGGTCCCATATTGCACCTACTGAAGCACTTTGCAGGATCATATTCCTGCAAATCAGCCAAGCGAGGAATATTTCTGATGTTATTCTGAGCCCTGGAATCTAGGGCGTGTGCAAGTGGGTGGGAACCAGACAATCATGAGGATAAGATCTCTAGACAAAGTTTGTTGGAATATCGGTCTTTAGGGAAGCTGCTGAGCTCATACTTTGCTTTTGCTACGCATTTCCCTGCTGCTTATGCAACCACAAAGGGCTACACACTGAGACTAGCCTTGTGTGCACTAGAAAACATTATGCCGTGCTTTAAGTTTAAAAGGCATGTTCAGTGGGTTTCTAGGAAACGGGAATTTTAAGGACCGAAAGCTCCCAATGTTTTTATTGGCAGAAGCCTTAAAGCTGACTTGTGCAAAAGTGTTTGGAGGGTGTGCCTGCACGAGTATTTGCTCAAGGTTTCCAGCTTCTCCACCTTTGCTGTAAAGACCATGCTGCTATCCATGGACTTTGGACAACTTTTTTCTGAGACTTGAAAATGTGAAAGCCGCTGTTGCATATTTATCTTACTTATGGAACTATTTGTATACTGCCCTCTTGCAAACATCAGGCTGGTGTACAACAGCAGCAGCAGCAGCAACAGAAATCTTTAAAAGCAATACAGAACAATAATTAAAATGACTGGCCACTAAAAAATTTTTGAACAACTACCTAGACCTGTTGCCATTAATAATAATAATAAATAAGTCTTTAGGAGATGCCTGAAAGTCAAAAGTGGGTATGGGCTGTATCCAACATTCGTCATTATCATAGTAGACCTATTGAAATTAATCAAAATTATTTCCATGCTGGCTATGGAGCATAGGCTATGGAGCTTGCAAGAAGGCTGGTGGAGAAGGGGCATGCAATGATCTCCTGGTCATCTATGTGAGAATGTTCAGGG